TATTATTTATGAATATATGTTCCATCTATATATATATATATATATATACATATATATATATATATATATGTATATATGCATACAGTAGGTGAGTTTATACTCGTTCTGGGTTGTTTTAATTGAACAGCTCTCAGGGGCTGAATTTAGAACAGCGTGGTCACAATTATAGTACATTTCAGAGAGGGCAGAATACATACATGATTCAACAATGAACGACAGGATAAATTAAAATATAATTATATCATATAAATAATTATGGATGAAGAATAATAATGTCATATTGAATTAAAAAAAAGACCTTTAAAAGCAAAAAAAAAAAAAATTAAATCCCAAGCAGAAAAAAAAGAATTTTCTAATTTCTTTTCCTCCTCGTTTGTAATACTTGTTCAAACGAGTTTTATAAAAATAACAGTGATGACTAATCCCTGAAAAAAAAAAAACGGATACCACAACAGTACGTGCACGTTACTTGTATAACACAAAACCGGAAGCTCAAACGAGATAACATAAAAATCTCTAATTAAGTATTCGAATGCCTTCCTGTCCTCGAGCGCAATACTTATTTGATATAAGATCTCTTGGCGGCCATTGTGTATTCGTCTATTTTTAAAACTTTCTTAGTCATAATCATAATTATACAAAAATATATTTTTGATAAAATAATTTTTTCCTTTTTCTAGAATACTATCGTAATAAATATAAAATATTTAATATTATATGATTATGAATATTCAATATTTTTTCAATGTCAAGAATTTGTAATTTGTATAAATTATTTTTATTTTATTACATTCTTATATAAATTAATCGTAAATTATAAAAATATCCGTAAATATTTGAAATATATACACATATCTAGTATGAAAATTAAAATTTAAATTTCCTTCAAATTATTCCTATTTATTATTATTTCTTTTAACATTTTATCCATTTATTCAAATAACCAATTTACTTTTACCGATACAACTTAATCGCTTTATCGATAAATCAATTAAACGATACAAAACGATTAAATTATTATGATGTAAAGTTTCATATTTACATTTTAAACAAACAATAACAATCCTTAATTATCTGCACGTTAGCCTCTCGAAAAATTATTTCGCTTGATATAAATTTTACATTTGGAATCGTATCATCAACCTTGTTAATTAAAATTTAATTGCCAACTCATATCCATCGTATAACTATAATATTTCCTGGGAATAAACAAACTTGATAAAAATCTTACATTATACAATTTCCTCTATAAAATAGTTACAATAAATACGAGTAATAACTATGTCGAAAAAAATTATCTTGTACAACCTCTTTGGAAAAGAATCTATCACGGTCTATCGCCTCGCACGTATAACCGATAATGCAACAGCTATTCGCAGTTTATTCGTACTTCCAATACGGTAAAACCAACGAGGAATATCAGCGCCCTGTTGCTCTGCTTGGCCGGCGAAGAAAAAAAGAAAAAAAAATAGGGTGTCTGGTGCTTTCAATTTTTCCGCGTAGCCGGTTCCTTTCATTCTTCCTTTCCTCCGTTCCTCCGCGTTGCTTTATTTTCATCTTGCGCGCCGGCCAGGTTGGCAAGAAAACGCGATATTCCCCATTTCGCTCGCCGGGAATGAACGAAAGAAAGGGTGGGTAACGAGAAAAAGGGAAACGCTCGTGAACGAAAATGGAGCGAACGAAATCGATGATGGAACGCTTGGTCTTTTTCCTCTTCCAAAACGTTGGTCTACGATCTTTTGTGGAACCGATCATATATATACGAGAAAATCTTTATTTCTTGATATATTTTAATAAGGAACGATGTGTATTAACGATGATGAATTATTGTAAAATTTTATCATTATTAGTTAATTTATTATTGTTAATTCTGCAGAAGGATCTAGAACATAGAAAGGTATTATATTTATTTACACAAGAGGTAATTTTCAGGCAAATTTTTGTACTCAAATAAATGACAGAATTAATACGAATTATATTTGATTGTTATATATTTTCAACAATCACTTTAATTCTTCGTATCATTTTATATATTCTTTTTTTAAAATATATAATACAAACGTTTGAGCAAATATTTATTTAAAAACTCAAGATTCACGTATCCTCACGTATTTCAATTATCGATCTCTGTTTCGTTTTTTCGATCGCAGAACAAGGAGGAGATGGGGAGGGATACGATGATATTCATAAAAATAATAGATTTTTTTATTGCATTGTAATAATGTGAGAAAATTGATGGAGCAACGGATAAAAAGGAGAACTGGTTTTTACTCGTTCAATTATACTCGAGATCGCGTTAATCGATAGATGGAGCTATGGTTATACGGATAAACAGGATATCTCCGTTTATCAGGCCAAGGATGTCTCCGGATATCATCGATAGCCGCGAATATCCGGTAGACCGCAAACGGTCTATAGACCGATGCGCGATTTCTCGTCGAGTGTCACGTTTCGATAAGTATTCCGGCCAGATTTAATTGTCTCCCCGTGAATCGACACACGACACCAGTTTACAATCCCGAAAATTCGGATCTCGTATTTGCTTTTATTTGTTTCCCTTGAAAACGGATTTAGATTAACATGCTCGTTGAAAATTCATTGAAAAAAATTGGGCAAAAACTGGATTGCGAGAAACCGAAACTATTCTCATTACAATTCGGCGAATAATTTTTATTTATTTATATTTCTTTCTTTTGTGGACGCGTCCTCCTTTTTCCTCTCTTTCTTTTCTCTTCTCTTTCTGGTATTAATTCGACTTTAAATCCACGTGAAAACTTTGCATGTTCTGTTACGTGCTCTGCTTAATTTCTTTTTTTTTTTTTAGATCTCTCATGATAAACAAATAAAATTTCACTTGAAAAATGTATAAATGAATTAAGTTGTAGAAAAAAATTAAACAATTTCATTTATAAAATGAAATAATTAACACGAAATTTTATTTTTGTAGTATGGCTATTATTAAACCATGATATATTACAAGTAATAAAAATTAATCAATTTATTGAGATAATTTAAATAGAAAGATGGAATAATGGTCAATGTAAGAGATAGAGGAAGTTCAAGATGGAAGAATTCGGATAATATCTCGTGTAAGATGTACGACATACTTCTTGCAACTAGTCAGATAGCACAGAGCAAGCTTTTATGGACGTTCTAAAGATGTTTGATAATGTCAAACAAACATCTTAAAGAAGTTTTTCGAACGTCTTAGGTTACAAAGTAAGACATCGATACGGACAAGTTAGTCTACAGCAAACTGCTCGAACTGACATATCTTTTCTTCCTGAAAAAAGAATAATTACGTTATAGATCTTAAAAATGTGTTTGGAATGTTTTATATCACGAATTAATAATTAATTAATTAAATTATCTTGATTTAGTTAGAATAAAATATTCAAATTTATAAGAAGGTAAGATATATTACAAAAATTAAAAAAAAAAGTTAAATAAATAACGTTAACAATTAATTTATGTGAAAAAAGATATTCTGTATATATAAGTTGGATATTGAAAGATGTTCAATATTGGATACAATGTTCTTCAACACAACCGAACAAAATGTTACAAGAGAATGTTAAAAGTGATAAATTTAAGCATTTAAAATAAACATTAAATCAAAGGAGACTATTAACCAGAAGGGGAAAGCCTAAAGTTATCCACTTCAATGAGTCAGATTTCTCTTTACATCTAACACAATGTGAAAATTGAGTGTGAAGCAAGTGTATTTTTCCTACATTGTATGTTTAGTTTTTCATTTATCTTGATCAATAGAACATGCTTGAATAGAAATATCTAAAATTCAAAAGTGTGTCGTTCATTTTTATCGTCTTGGAATTATTTCATTGCCATAAAATTTAACTTTTAAATTGAAAATATATTAGAAATTCTACATTTAATGAAAATTTGAGAATTTATTATATGTAAATGATTCATATCAACATGTTTACCAAGAAAAGTGTGACTATTAATTGAAAGATAAGACAAAAAAATAAGAAATATTATGAAACAGTTTATAAATTGTATTTTAATTAAATGAAACATCAAAAATAATACATAATCTTGTGATAATAATCAGATTACATGATAATAATAATAATAATAAACATTCTCTACTTTTTATCCTTATATTCCTTGATTAGATCTTTTGTTCCAGGATGCTTCATATGTTTTATTCATTCGAAAAATAAAATACAAATTAAAGAGTGTCTTTATCAACACGAATTAACATTATACTTTAATTACAATCCTGATCGTCCATTAAAATAAATTTTCAACGTTTTAACAAAATATATTTTATAGATTTTTTATAATCATCATAATGATAAAATTTCCAAAAATGTAATTAACCCACAAATCTTCAATATTAAAATATTGTTTCAAAATTTTCGTTCAAAGCAAATATTCACGAAATTATCTCAATCCACGGATCGTTTACAACACACCAATCCCTTCGGTTTCCTGAAATATTTCAAACAAGACCATCGAACTCGAAATTCGAATTAATCAAAGTCACAGATACCCTCGGTAATACACACGTGGTATCCAGTAATATATTTAACCGAAACTAAATTCGGAGTATACGGTACAAAGACCGCAAAACGTGTCTTGCCCTAGTCCTAGAACACCCGAGACCTAGTTCACGAAGTTGTTCAGGTCCCGTTCTACTAGAATCAAGCGAAATTGTCGAGGACATAAATATAGAAACGAGGCAGTGGAGTGGAAACAAACACCGGTGGAAAACACTGAGAATACACACGTGTATGCGCTGTTTCTGTTCGATTCCATTTCACGTAGCGAATTTTGAAAAATATTTTGCAATAATTATTTAATAAATTAATTCTTATTGTCTATCAAAAAATGTATTATATTATAAAAATTCATTTAAGTGAAGTTAATATTAATTATAAACGAAATTTTATTATTATTAATTAAATGTTAAAAATGATAATATTTAGAAAAACAATTTGCAATCTCCTTAAGATAACATAAAATACATATGATTCGAATAGTAAGAGAAATAGAACTATAATATAGAATTATAATCGTTTTATTTACAATGGAAAATTTTAAGTATTTAATTCTATTCAACAACTTCTTCGAAGATTTCGATGGCGTGTATTTCTTAGAATTTAGTAAATGGAATATTTTATAAAAAAATATGTAAAAATTTACATTAATATTAATATGATAAGATAATTATTTTTTAATACATTATAGTATAAGTAATGAAAATTCTATTAGGAGCGAACGTGTCAAAACTGTTAACCAAACTCTTTGATAAGTTTCTGGAAAGGTCCTAGCTTCAGATTACTAGATTCGATGAAACTTTTAGAATACACAAGCTTCATTCTCTGTATAAATTAGCACCATATAAAGGCTTCATAAGTCTTAAGTTATTTGTTCCAAAAGTTTCCACGTTACTTAAACAAGTTATATCATTTGGTTGATCGATATCTTTAAGCATCTCTTCTAGGAATTAGTTCTTCGTTCCTTTATTTTTATTCTTTGAAATGGAATTTGCAATTTGTCAATTTATTACGTTAATAAATTAATAAGATAATTAAAATTTATTTATTTTCAAGAATATGGTAACAAAATAAGAAATATTTATATATGATAAATTATTTTCATTTTTATTTTTCTATTTAAAAAAAATTAAAAAAAAAATTAATTTTTATAATTATAGTTCTAATTTTAAAATAAATGAACGATTGCGATTGTATACATTAACGAAATGAGTCATTTTTTTGTAATGATTCTCTTGTACAATTGAATTAATGAAATTTTACAAGTCAAAAATTATAAATTATAAGTTACTAGTTATCTAATAAATTTCCTTGCATAAAATGACATGCTTAATGATGAATAAAAATGAATAAAATTTTATAAATGACATTTACAAGTAATAAATTATTTGATTATCTTGTTAGATATAAAATTGTGAAAGTTTAGCTTATTACATGTAACTCGTGAATTCATTAATATTATTACTTGATAAAATATTATGTAATATTAAGACATAAGTTAAATGAAAATATGAATATTAGATTTCAAATTGTGAAATGTGCATATGTGTATATTAAATTATGTCTTGTTTCCATTAATATATTTTCTGTGTATTTAATGAAACCTTCGAATATTATATTATAATATGTTTAAACATATATAATTTAATATTCATAGTTTCTTATATTACGAAAGAGAAAAATTATCTAAATTTAAACTTACTTGATTTCTTCAATTTTGTTTTCTTTATTTTAAATAATAAAATAATGTAATTAAATTGAATTATTTTGCATATATATATTTAAGTTTTTGAAATTGTTTTTCATGAAGTATCATGAGGAAGATTGGTGATAAATTTATTACTATTTTTACCATAGAAATATGATCGTCATCTATTAATTTGGAACGTATCATGCTCTGTTTCGCGGTTCTGGTACTGATATTCCAATGTTAAATTGCTTTAATGAAAAACAAGTCAGCATCATTATTCTGAGTAGAATGTAGTGATTAATTTATCATCATTGTTCATGACAACGTTTCACAAGCCTGTCAAACATATATTGAGTTTATTTTATAATCAAAATGTATAATATCCTTTAAAATAAACAAACCATATTTTTATAATTCATCAAATTTATCAAAATTTATCATCAAAAAATCATTTAATCTTTAAGTTTCTTCATTTGGTTAAATAATTTTTATATAAAAAAAAAAAATTATTGAAAATCATCTATATATATTCAAGAAAACATATAAATATTTATAAGAAAATTGCAAAATTTTCTCAT